ATGTGTAAGGGAAGGGATGGCGAAGAGACGGACTCTTTAGAACTAGAATGTCGGTATAAAATTATATTATATAATACGCGTACATGTGCAGGATATACGAGTCATAAATATATATATATATATATAAGTATGCGTATACAAAAGGGCTCTAAAGATATGCAATGGGTGGCACCCCGTCGTGTTGGAGGGCTATAGTGCCACGCACACAGATGCACACACACCCGTACACGTACACGTAGGTAGTCGGTATAGGGGTTACCAAACGGGCATGCTCACACACACACACACACATGCAGACGTTCTCACACACGCGAGCGAGTTATATTATCGAAACCTACTATTATATCGACCGTGCCGGAGGATTATCAGTCTCTGCCCCCGTTCTCCACCCCATTTTAAGAATTTTTAATGCCCGCACCGAAAAGCGCCTGCACTCCGTCACCGGCTGACCCTTGTGTTTCGGAGTGGTTCCCAAAATGTCCAATATACCGACACCGATCGTGAACGGCCCCCCAAGGACGACGACGACGTAACGCTGGTGACGATGACACTCGTGAGAACGATGTACGCGGCCGTAATATCCATACGACAATCGTCGCGTAGGTATAAGTTTATTTCAAGTTTCCAAAGTGTTTTTTTTTTTTTCATATCGGGTGTTCAAAGGAACCGCAACGACGAGACCTTTGAACCGGTTTAGTGGGAGAGGTTTTTTTAAAAAATATATTAGAATATTATAATATATAGGTATCTATAGTTATTGAACAGTGAAGTAGGGAACACATTATACACCGTTGTTATTACGGCTCACGAACAATACACCTATATTATATTATTATAATATGGGATACGGGTAGCTTGCGAACTATAGGATTATAAACGGCCTGTTAAGACGTGAAATGTAAACAAGCATAGAAAGAAGACGGATTAATGTTGACATTTTACAACGGTCTTGTAGTTGCACCTATAAAAGTTTTTTGTTCATAATGAATATTATTCAATTTTTAATCAAATTTAAGTATTAGTTTAGTTTTATTATTTTGTTTGTATACTGTATTGGAAGAACATCGAGGTATATTTTTTACGAATAGTTCTAAGTAGTACTTTAGTACCGAGTTAAAAAATATTCTTGATAACAGCGTATTCAAATTTAAAAATAAATGACCCTACAATGGAATATTTTACATTAATTAATTTAAAAATTATGTAAACTGATCAATTTTATTTATTTATTGGAAGCTCTTATTTTTCAAGACTAAAAAAATGTTACATGCCTTAATATTGATTTAAACTTAAAGGTATTACGTAATAGTTTTTTTTTTTCAATTCACAGGTATTATTACTGCTGTTCTTACATTTTAGTTTTAACAAAAATAAATATATTTAAACTGAACTCATACAATTATAAGACGTGCAATTATTAAAATATTATTAAGTTATTAAGTTAATTTCTATAGGCCTTACTCAGTTACTCCTTGATTACTTAATATTATTTCATTTTATATTTGATTAATTTGATTATACATTATATTATAAGACAAGATTGTGGCAGTACGATAAAACCAGTACCTACTTATATAGTATAAGAAAAAAAACAATACAAATATACAGATTGTTACTATTATATTATACGTATATTTACTTCGATGAAAAATAATAAATTCTCAATAAATGCACGATGAAGTCTAATGCAACTTATACTTTTTGTTGCGCAACTAATAGCAACTTGACTATGGTAAATCATATTTTGTAACGGATTAAAAGTATTATCTCCAACGACCATGATATAGGACGGTATAGCCGTATGGGTACTGACTACCTACGTATGGGTATACACTATACAGTATACTGAGTATTACACTCTGTTATATTTTAAACATATTATACTTATAATATTAATCTTTCTCTCTTTTTTTTTTTTTTTTTTGAGAAGGAGAAGGGAGTTTTATAAACAAAGTAAAAACTTGTGACCAAAGGTATGGTTTGAAAAATTCACTTTTATTGTATTCTAGAATTTTTATATTTGTACAAATAATTCGTTAAAGAATACGGTTGTTCCGTTGTTATATGCTTATTTATTATATATAAATATATGTATAGTTATAGTAGTTCCATATAATATATAAAGATACCAACGTTATACATGTTTTTTTAATCATAAAAACAGCAAAACCGTAGGTAACCTACATACATGTTCAGTTGCATGTTAACAACTGCTATACGATATAAAATAATACATGTGTACCTATATACCTACGGTATATACTTTGATAAATTGCTCGTGCATTTTAATATTCCACCATATACCTGCCAGCTGCCTATATATACCTCTTACACAGGTATACTTGCCATTAATTATCGTTTTTTTCACGTGCACAGAAATTATTGTTCAAAAACGATTATTATCAATTTGCGTTATGCATACACATTACACACTGTAAAAGAACAGATTTCCACACGAATCTTTACTACTTTGTTTTCATTTAATTAACGAGCCAGCTTAAAAATGTCAGTCTATTAGAGTTCATGGATTTGAAGTATTTTGAATAAATTCGCTTTATTACAGCTGTGTAAGGTTGAATATCATGGTGCTTAATATTAAACTGTGTAGGAACTGACTATATAAATATAATATATATATAGGTATAGACGGTGCAGTATATACAGGCGATATGCGCCAATCTTAAAATGTGAGACATATTTACCTAATTAGGATTTTTTCATGTCTTATAATAATTTTTAAATATTACTACACCCATACATTTTTATAGAATTAATTTTTACAAAAACTAGACGTATCGGTCCTCCCAACAATAACCCAAATGTTTTAATTAGGTACCTACGTGTATTTTGACCATAAACCAAAACAAAAATGCATATTTATTTTCGTGTGTGGTAAACTTTTTCTAACTCATACAAATGGCGCCAAGACCAAAAGAAGGGATTTTTACACAACAACATATTATTATTTATCATTAATCCCCTTCGTTAAAATCAAAAAATTACAATTAGCCATTCTGAAATGAGGTAGATACATTAAACTTATACAATACATACATCCGGCCATTTATAACGGATGCTTTAAATGTAAACTTTATAGGTAATATAAGATATACAAATGAAATGTATTTGAAAGAATTATTAAAACTACTGTTACCATAATTATATGAAGAAATAAGTAATTATGCGTATAAAACTACTAAAATATATTGAATAATAGATATCTAAATTTATTACATGACATAAATGTAATGTACATGTAATATTTTACATTCAATAACCATAGATATGGTATAACCAATAAGCGTTAATTTGAATTTGAATTGACCGAAAAAAAAAGGAATATTACATAATAATGAAAAGTTAGGTAGGTACATTATATAGTATTATAAAATATTATGTATAGGAAGTATAAACTATAAACTAAATGGTGTATACCATTCAAAATTTTTTTTTTATATATTCCCTTTTAGTATTTAAACCTATTTATTTGAATATTCGATAATTTAAGTACAGTTTTGCTATCATGATGATTATAGGTGTTTTTTTGTTATACAACTGCAGATCAAGGCATCTTGTATACAGCAGGTGTCCGGGACGCCAAGAACGTATATGTACTTCCTTAGGGGGATCACAATGGGCTGGTTTTATGTCTGGTTAACATTTTAGAAAAGTACTATAATATGAGGGGTGACTTACATTTTTACATTTTCTCTCTACATATACTACAATACGTATTATATATACTATATTTTACACCCCATTGTTTTTTTTTTTACTACATATTTGTATAGACTTCTAGAGTTTGAATAATTAATTTATTGATTAATATATTATATATAAATGTATGGTTTAACGAAAACTAAATTACTTGTGTGTATTTAGTAAAGATAGTGAGTTCAAATAAAGGATAATTATTTTTAGGATTTTATCCGAGTAAAAACTGTGTGATTCAGTAAATACATATTTATATATTAGGTAGTACAGTTTTTGCAGTCGTTAACAGATGTAAATTTAAAACAATAATTCAACAGGTGTACTAACACTAATCTATACATAAGCAAAACATTTTTATTACCTACCATTATTTCCTAGTCATTATTTTATAATTCAATCATAACAATAATATAAAAACAATAATAGCCCATTTTAAAGATGTAAACGTGCTAAGTAGTAACTATAGTAAGTACCTACCTATCTATTGTATCAATATAGGTATTATTATATTTTTATTTCTATACATTTATCCCTGAAGAAGTGAAATAGCAGCAGTTTATAGCAATATATGCGAAATTTCAATTAATAATGCCTAAAAATCAAATACCATGTTAGGTACCTATAATAGGTATGTATTTTATATTTGTGCATCGTCGATTCTTAACATGAAGATTTATCGTTATTATTATGATAAATACATACTTCTATATTGTATTAATAATATTATATTATAGGTAAATAGTATAAAATATAAAATATTATACTATATACATTGTTCAGAAATAAAATTATGTATAGAGTTGGAGAGTTAAAAATAATTTTACCATTGCACTGTTTCCAAACTCGTCATTGTATACCTAAATGTACAGTATTATAATAAATATATAAGACACACACTCGAACAGCTGAAGCTGGAAAAAGTCAGACGATTAAAATTGTTTACATCGAGAATACGTAAGATCGTAAAATTAACTTTTTCAAGGAGAAGTTATGGGGAAGCGTATATAATAATATAATAGTGAAACAGATGTCGATAAAAACACGTTACTAAAACAAATACAAAACGTTTTATCGTGAAAACATATATATCAAATAGTAATCATAGCTTCTGCCAATTTTTTATTTTATGATTTGAAACATTTTGCAATGTTTTACGCTAGAAACGCTATAGTAAAAAGAGTGTATAATATAGTAGTATAGTCGCCGTACCAGCATAGTAGTAAAGAAATCGATAACTCGCTACGAACGTGGGGTCCAAAAGTATACGTTTTTTTTTTTTTAGCTGAATGAAATTTTCCAAGACCGCCTACGAAAATACCTATTCGATTTTTTTGTCTTTTCCTTTTGGTGTAACTAGAAGAGAAACAGAAACACAGCGTTTTTCTGGCGGTGGCGTTGGTGGTTTGAAAAATCCATTACGTTGCGCAGCGTTGCATATCGTAAGTTATGCACCTCAATCGGTATCTTCGGGTCGACCTGGGCCTGTAGCCAGCCAGCAGGAGGAAACAAAAACGGGTTTCCATTCGGTCGATTTGGCCACGAATAATTGGAAAACGATCGTTTTGTTTTGTTTTTATCTTCTGTTCTCGGTTTCTACCACAGTTTTCCATTTTTCGAACACAAAAGGCAGTACAATGAAACACATTTTTGGAGGAAAACCGCTGATGGATGCCATGTGGAAGTTTCGGCCGTGTCGGTGATCCGGTATAGAAAAACTGTTCTTTATATGTACTCAAAAATATAGTTTAATAAACGAATAAAATACCACGCAGCATAATGGTTAAGCTCGCTTGATAATATTTAAACACTACACATTATATAATTTAATATTATACACGTGTTTAGTATTATCTGAAATCTGAGTGACATACTTTTAATTTATATCATATTGCTCAAAAAGCCATCATGATATCGTAAGGGCGTTATTCATGACTCGCGACTCTGAGAATCTTATATATGACCTTTGAGTTTAGACTCGACGGGAGTGTAGAGTAACAGAGATTATTAGCTATAACTAAAGAGACTGCCCGGGGCCTTGATAAAGAAAGATTCGCTCTCGTGAATGACACGCCATTTGTACGAGCGTTCCGTGTCAAATTTAATTTTATGATCTTATATTAAAGTTAAACATATAATATATCTTCATTCGGAATTTTCATATGAGTTTTCAACTTATTTCATGGGGTAATAAACAACTTGTAAAATATGGTTTTGAATTGTTCGATTTTATAAAACACTTTGATTGTTCTAATTAAATTAATCAATTACTTAAATTTTTTTTTTTTTTTTTAAATATATCCTATATTGGGCATTGGCTATTGCAGTGTTATTTAAGAAAAATTATTAGATTTACACTTACATTTTTGAACCTATTGTTGAGTAATATTATGTAACACCGTTATTTGTTTAATACACTTCTTAGAAATTATTCAAAAAATATTTAATATCTATTTGTTTCCAATGTAAAATTTTTAAATTGTAACTCAAGTCTGTACTAAATGTAATAATAAAATAAGATGACAGTATTTGTTATGCAAAAGATATTTAGGTGCTGAAAAATTTGCATTCCATTGTAAAAAAATACCATTTATTATAATAAAATTCAGAAACTAATTCTCTTAGTTATTATTTAATTTTTTCTTAAAACTGCTTGAAGAATTTAGTAGATATGTGTACTATAGTGTACTATAAAATATATTTATACTGAATATAATTTTGGTAGCTTGGTTTTTGACAATTTTTTTGTATTATACTTATAATTTGCCTATAGTAGTATTATACGTTTGTGCTTCATAAATAAAATATATGAGTATTCATTATATTGTGAAATAGTGAATACTGAGAACTTATCACTTTATAGTTTATTTGTGCACATAGTGACATTATATACTCTAGGGGAGTTTCATGAGAACTTATACAGTTATGACTTTATGAGTGTCTAAAATCGTCAAGCGTGTGTTGAATTACTCACCATACAGTAAACGAATATATATTTAAAATTCTTTTGTTTGTTTACTTCAACTATAATTTTTAATTCAATGGTCCAGAAATGTATTAATTAATATGCGGTTGACATTATACCCATTAAGTATTATAATATAATATAATTGTGTTCATATTTTATTCGATGAGTTCTAGAAAGAATATAGTTACCTATAAGAATAACAATTACGCTCAACCGTTTTTTGGCTTATACAGATACATTATAGTTATACCCAGAAAATATAACTTCCAAACTTTGGCCACAGGACACTCTTTAAGTAGTTCAAAAAAATTCATTGATTTGAAAATATGGGTTTTGAGTATATTTAAAAATTTAAAAATCAGAATTTGAATAAATAAATTATTAAATGAAAAATGGGGGGGGGGAACATGCTTGGTGAATCACAATGTATAATGTAATGTATTCGTGACTGTATTTTGTTTTAATATGTTTAAGAAAAATGCAGATAAACTAAAAAGTGAAAATACTAGTTTTAAGTACCTACGTTTAAATATATTATATTATGATAATAAATAAATTCTAAAAATTAAAATGTTATAATATTTACATATTTTAGAGTTAAATACAATTTTTTATTCATTAGATATTAATAATATGTTTTGCATAACAGACCAGGTCCTGGTTCAAGGTGATTACATTCCGCACGTTTGCTTGTTTCAATGGCGAACGAGCGTACGGTTTAAATCTACAAGATATAATTTTAAATAACAAAATGCAAACATTTTTAAGCTACATAATGCATAACATATTATATTATGCTCTATTTAGTTGTCAGTTGTATCTAACTTAAAATGGCATACATTACTTGCTTCGTATAATAATAACTATTTGGCTTTTATTTATAGCCTATAGGTGTTGTTCATCAAAATTCAAAAGTTTAATTGTATTTACCTTTTGACTGGGGCCTTTGGCGCCGAAGTGTTTATAATATACTATGCTATCGTACAACAAGGGCCCGAGATCATCATCCCCCCTTTTTTTAATTTAACAATCAGATGCAATCAAAGCACCTATACATAATGCAATGTTTAAACATTTACCTTTACGTTTTAACGTAAATTATAAATCCACAGTGGGATCCCATGCAGTACCCTACGGTGGGCCCCCCATCTAAAAAATCTACTATGAAATAATATTATTTTATAGATAAATTAGGCGATCGTCGCCACTGACTGTGGCTAGTGACTATACATGGCATTTTCCACTGCATTAGCTATTCAGCTATGTGGGGCGTATTCGTCATCGTATTCTGCCGCATAAATTATATACAATTATGGTATAAACGCGACTTTTTCCGGCACCTGTACAGCGCATCCCAATTTAAAAACACGTAAAATTAGGAGTTCGCGTTTTTATTACATTGGCGGTCGTCCGCCAAAATGCGGGCTCGTCGACGTTTTTCCACCGTGGATCACATATATTATTTTGTGTATAGTAAACAATGTCACCATAACTCAAAGTATATAAAACAATTTAACAATGATAATATTGAATTTGATGGATAAAACGGCAAAAAATACGTGGTCATTATAATAAATTATTGGTATTTTTCTTTCCATGTCGTTATGTAATTAGGTAGGTAACCTACGATAATTATTAATTTTTGAACATAATAAAATGCTAGATAGTCTAAACTCTAAATTATCAAAATTGATAATGAAACATTATCCTTCTCCGATTTAATTTCAATTTATAGGCTTATATATAATATAGCACATTATACATTAGAAAATATTGATAAATGCATATACCTATAAGACCTACCTATAATCTAATTAAACCGTAAAAAATACTATGTATTAATATTTAATTGATTTCAATGATAACGTTTTTATTTTTATTTTTATTTCAATTTATTTTAATCTTTATAATCAATAATGTATTCATATAAAAGTGCTAACATAATATTATAGTGTATAAGTTATATCAACCACTTATTAATGATTATTGTATTTTCAAGAAGGTATTTTCATCAACTAAAATGAAAAATCATTAAGGATAGGCGTATTCCTTTGACAAATTATTTAACAGCGAGCTATTAAGTATTATACTAGGATATTATACAGGTAACATTCATAATATACTATGCGTCTTGCCATTTACATTAGGTATATATTTTAAAGTTCGTATGCGCCAACGCCATGAAGCCGTACTCGCCCCATAGTGCCGACGGCGCAAACGAACTTAAAAAATACTATATATATATACGAAAGGTGCCTACCTACTTATCAATATTATATTTTATTTAATATCGTATTATTAAAATTGTGAAGTAATATTTTCTGATTATTATTGTGGTAATAGAATAAATAATACCATACTACTCAGTACAACTCTATATAATACACATAAAATATATTAATACATTTTATTTCAAAACCAAGTAACGCACTAACACGTCTACATTTTACATAAATAGCTAATTGGTAATTAGCTATAACTTATAAGTAGTAAGTATGGTACTATGGAAATATTATTGTTTGAGAAAAATAGAAAATGGTTTTGAAATTGAAATAAAATTAATTTTATATAGGTAATATACATAACATTTTATATTTATGTACCTAATTAAAAATCATAAATAACTGTAATTATTATTTTTTCTGCATATATTAGGAGGTACATACTACTTATAGGTACAATGTATAACTTTATGTTCACTTTCGTTAATAAATTAAAAATTATTTTCATTAGGTATAAGTTATTTTTATACTTAGTACCGACCTATTATTAATTTAAGCGGAAATGTGAAATACAAAGAATTATATTATAGTTGAACATTTTATAGATTTGAAGTTATTTTAAACTTAAATGTTAGATATTGAATTTTACATTTATATATTATATTTAATTACTTCGTCTGCATTCTAATTTTGGAAAATGCCAATTTATGTCCACTGGTTTACCTACTGATTCAGTTTCATAGTCACTTATAAGAAGAAACTAAAATCATTGGAAATCTTAAATATAAATGGAAAATATTAGTCCAGCCAGTCCAAGTATAAGAATTTAAAATTGATTTAATAAATAAATGCTGTCCTCAAAAACTGTCTGGTTGGAACCCTTTACACTATGTATCATTGTATCATACAAAGGCCGAAGGGTCATTCACGCTGACCCGTTCTAGTAGTATCGCCGCTTTGTGTGTTGTGCTCTATTGATCCAGAACAATTCGATGAACATTTTGTCAGCCATAATCCTAATTCCTAGTTAAAAGTATGATCGTTCACATAGATAATAAAATAAATCTAAATAAATTATCTAAACGTATGTCGAATATAGCTGTACATTATATTCATTGAATATAGATTATGAGTGTTGTATAAATATATAATATTATAGTAGGTACATATTTACCTAATAATATGGTTTTATCTTATTTTAATGGGGATTAAAATTACAAAGAATACATACGTTTTAAGAGACAGTATACACTGCAATAAATATGTATTACCTACATTGCATACATATATTTATTCAAATACAAAAATATAATATAAGTAAGTAATAATGTAATATACATATCTTTCAAATTTAGAATTAATACTTGTTGTTAAGAAAATATTGAACGATGATGACAATATGATCTTTTGTATATGAATTAAGAAGTAAAAAAAAAAATAGTTTTCAACATAATATTATTTATAGTCAGGTTGATATTATATAATTTCAAATTACAATAATGAAATAAGTGTG